TGTGAAATGTGAAGAGATGCGACGACTGCCAGGGGCATGAGCATTAATATAATACAGAAATATAAGAGAATATTATTTCTGGAGCGAATTAGGAAGAAATGTTGGGAAATATGTGAAATGTGAAGAGATGCGACGACTGCCAGGGGCACATGCACTCAATCAGAATTAAGGAAACCCATGGACACGGACATGGATGAAAATGAAAAAAAATGTATAAGAAAACACAGGGGAATAAGAAAGAGGAAACCCATGCACTTGGACATGGATGAAAATGGAAAAAGCGTATAGGAAAATATAGGGACAGGAAACCCATACGTAAGGATATGGATGAAAAATGAAAATAGTGTATAGAAAAACACAGGAGAATATAAATATATAAAATTTGAATTTGAGAGAATTTGAAGATAGAGACAAGGTATATTCGAGAGACTTAGATAGCACGACAAGTCTTTCAAAGAAGTTACAGAAAAATGGTACTATCCATACCATTTCAAAACATAGAAAAAGTTGGACCAGTGACGTACGCAGTAAGTACAAAAAAGGGAAAAAATAGACAGGTAGTGCACGTCAACAGGTTAAAGAAATATTACGAGAATGAAAAAATGGAATACTCCACAGAGGAAGAAGAAGAAATAGGAGAACCAGAACAAGAAGAGACGGAAGAAGAAAGAGTTGACCCGTCTAAGGTGGCAACACTGCCATTATGGGAACCACTAACCCCAATTAACAAACCGCGGAGAAGAAGAAAAGGAAGTCAGGGAGACACCAGCCAACCAAAAAGATCAGAACGAATAAAGAATAGACTAGGCAAGATGCCCGAAAGAAAATGTTGCGGCATATTCCACAAAACGAAACAGAAAGGATGGAACACATACGACAGAATAATAAATAAGAACGAGACAGCAATAGTAACACAGAAGGATGAGAACGCAGAAATGTTTTTCGACGCAATAGATGAATAGTGGAAAAAATATCAAAACAATTATAAGAAAAGTTGAAAGCTTGGTATTACAAGAGACGGCCGCTCGAATAATACTAAAATTTTAACAAGGAACGAAAGACAAAACACAGGTAATATAAGCATTCATAGTTAAATATCAGCACAGTTCAATGAAAACAAATTTTTTTGAAAACATAACAGTACATCATAACTAAAAGCAAGTTTTAAGAAAGAGAAATAAGTAAATTAATTTAAAGTTTATAGGGGTCTAAGCTGCTGTTGATTAGTAAGAGCTGGATCGGTAAGATACCATACGCCAATCCTTTATTGCTATGTCAAAACTGATTGACAGACTTTAATTCCTATCAACTAAGAAAGTAGTATAAAGATTGAGTCAGACCACTGGTAAATAAACAACTAATAAAGGTCAAGTTTAGAAAACGTAACAATTAAATAAAAAAATAAATATTGTAGTTTATAACAGACACCAAGAGTTCATTATATCAGTCAGTATCAAATTTCATCAACAATGTGAGTATATAAAAATTCAGCTCTCAGCAAAAAGTAATAAAATAGCTTTGAAACATAAATATCATAACATTGAAAACAAGTCATTGTGTTTGACGATAAATCAAAATAAATTCCACCTTTGAATTATTTTAAAAATATTTGGGAAAGAAAGAGAAATTATTACAATACTTTCTGACACTTTATTAAGAGTAAATATAGTAATTAAAATATTTTTCAAATAAGGAAAATTCGTTACACATACGTAACTATATACAATAAGTGATGACAAGTTGAGAATTAAAAATATATGACTCTAATATACAGGGTGTATATATAACAGAAAGATGATATATTAAATTGTAAATATTTAAAAAGTACAAGTCCCAATTATTAACATATTAATATTGGTTTAGATATCAATTTATTTATCAGTTTATAGTCATTAGGCACAATAATATGCAAAACAATGTAGGTTAGTTTATAAGTCAGATTTATGTAAAGCTATCTCTAAAATTGTCTGCAATAAGCAGCTATACATGTATTTATAGGTTAAGGTGCATTTGAATTACGCGTAAAAAGTATTAATGCGAACTAAAGTCTGCTTACGGGAGTGCGACCGTTCGGGCAGTAATAACAGTGCGATTTGTGACACTGGAGAGACTCATGTTTCACGGTTTGATGTACAGCCACACGTCCATAGTCGATGGAGGACTAGACAGCTACATCAAGAAGATAGGACCAGAAGAATTCTGAAATATACACCGCTACCGATCGATACAACTCTACGAGAAGACGACAACGAAATCCACCTACGAGAAGGAGTAACATGCTCATTCATCAACGGCTGTTGCTTGGACTCTACAATAGGCGAAATAACTTGGAAAAACAATACAAAGACAACAGTTGTGAAAGTCAATTGTCACAACTTTACAGAGGGCACGTTGAGAAGATCACAAATAAACAATCACTAGAAGAGCTGGTAATAGTAGAACAAGATAAAAACATATTTGCTCTAACGTTACACAAAAGGGCTATAATATGTAACACAGAAGTATGGCAAACTGAACACCCTCGAATCCAAATAAATTTCCTAGTAAACAACAAAATAAATCCTAGTATGCCTCTCCTACCTCAAAACGTAGACCTAATGACCTACATCAATAGCAAATTCCTTTACACCGAACAATCCTACCAAAGAGAAATAGAAAAGTTATACTTAGACATAGTACTGCGACGATGCCAAACAAAGAGAGAAATTAAAAAAAAAAAAAAACAGATTACTGATGGCCCCATCCTTACCTAACGCCGTCAGTCAACTCATGCAGAACAGGCCAGGGTACACATGCAGCAAACACATACCAGAGACCAATGTAGCAGAAGTATAATGCGACAAAGCAAAGCAGTAGCAACCTGAGACGACCACCCAGCAAGGACAAACCAATGGAGGCAGACAGCAGCAGTAACGCATCAATATAGTTAACTCGACACGTGGAATTGGCAAACGGACATTAAAACAGCCAAAACGACGCGAGTGAAGTGCGGATAATTCCCACAGGGATACGCGATAAAGTGAACGCAAAACGCGAGTACAATCGTATAGAACAATTAGAATACGCTTGTCGTAATGGACACATGTAATCACAAACAATTGTAATAAGTTAGGAAAGTCTTTCACTTGTTAAGTTTCAATAAGATTAATACAAGATTAACTCAACTTGTCATACACATAGGTTTAATACGGGGGCAGCACGATACATTCGCTGACCACGGTACAATAGTCTATAAGAAACAGTAAATGATAAAATATAAATTGGGACTTATATAAAAAATATATATAGTAGGATATAAGTAATAATATGTAAGTAGAATAATTTATTGTTGGAAAAGGAAAAGGCCCCTCGGCCCTTTTCTTTTTTTGCGTAGGGAGTAATGTAATGTAAGCGTAGCAAGTGAGTGAGAAGTTGAATTAAATGGTTAAGTAGCATAGAAAAGATAATAATTATTCGAGATAATTATTATATATTCCAAATCAAATAAGGGATAATTATTACAGTAAAATTTTCATTTTTAAATCCCACAAATAAATTGACCTAGTTATTGCATTGTTTGTTAATTGTTTAAACATAGAAAAGCACGTCAAACAAAAAACTGTTATTGTGATGCAATATAGGACCCACAATTCAACGAAAACACAACCTTGGACTATAACCGGTCAATGAGGACACCATTCGATAAAAACTAGAAAACGGGGACAGCCAAGTCAGTAGTCAGTCAATCAGTAGTGATAACGGGGGCGCCGTAACTGCCCGCTCAGGGCAGTGATCGCCGGACGCGATAGCGTCCAGTACGCGAGACAATCGGTGATTCTCCGGGGGCCGGGTATCATCTGGCAGAGTTCGCGTGTAGTCCGGTTATTGTGGCAGCTCGAAAGTTCGCAACCCTCAACTGACCGAGTTCCAGACGACTGAACGTGTCGTGGTTGAAGCCCTAATATACACATAAGGTAACAGATTTCTTATACTAACCTGTGTAATTATATTAGTACCACTGTCAACTCTTCACTATCTTGCTACATCGTCTCCCGACGCGCAGAATAACGTGTTAACGATTGTATTAGTAACTTCAGGGTAGATTCAATATATTGTTGACTCTAATTTGGTTTTTTTAATGTTCCTTTCGTCCGACTCACTAGAGACTAGGAGAACACGAGATTCTGCGTATGCATATCTCCGGCTTCAAAAGTAAGCCCATAACCTCTACTCTTTACAGGACCTGAGACCTAGGAGTCCTTACCCCTATCCCGAAATCCCTTATCTTCTCGTAAATCCACGAAGACGAGCCAGCCCTCCAGACCAGTGTGACCAGTATTCCTTGCAGCCGCTCGCAGGGTTAGCATCCCATGAGGATCTATTGTGTATTTCATTTGGTGACAGCGTTTTCCATAACTTCACATAACGCTCTCATTTCCTATTATATTACAAGATTTTTCGCGTCTTTTAAAGCCAGCTTTAATAAATGTAGTTAAAGACAGTATTTGGTCACAGCAACTTTGTCCTCTTCTAAATCCAGAAATCCAGCTTGTTTAATTGGTACAGCATCCTCAATGGTTTTACATATTCGGTTATATAAAAGTCGTTCTAGTAATTTATAACAGCAACTGAGTAAGGCAATAGGCCGGTAACTTTCAGGCAGCTTGTTGTCTTTGCCAGGCTTCTGGATTGCGATAATTTTTGTTCTTTTGAATTCTGGGGGTAGCACAGCTGTATTCATAATGTCGCTAAATAATTTTTTGAGCCACTGTCGTGCAATAAAATAAACAAATCTCTCACTTTCCCTTTTCCAACTTTTGAATTATTTAATATTAGTTCAACTATCTTTAAGAAACAATTATTTTAACTAATCAGTTAAACTAGAGTGTTTTTAGAGTGTTTTTATCAAACGTTAGCACCCAGAAAAAACATTACTACTAATTTAAGGAATTTTCTGCAATTTGGTTCATTTTATTTGTTTATTTCAGGACCCAGTATTTATTTTTATTTGTTTATTTCAGGACCCAGTAAAGAGAACATGGACAACATTTACGATCACACCGGAACCGTCAAGCAACTCTAAGTACAAATATGGCTCTCGTCTTCAAATAACCAATATGTCGTACCCATTTGTAGGATTCTATAACTGCCACTTTGAGGGTGCTCAAGATATAACGGACGAAAATTCCGAGAATACCAGAGTATATCTATTTGTAAATGGTAAGTACCGTATTTAAAATTATTAGATTAACCAATGACTGTCTATTGATGTATCAACGGTGAGGTATAACTATAAAGATACAGACTAGATTTAGGTTGCTTGAACCAAAATATGCTGGTAGGACCTGTGGAGGATTTATTTTTTTAGAATGTTGATTTACTTATTGCTGGAGCTGGTTAAAGTAAACTTACTTTAAGATTTGGGCTTATACCAACCAAATTTCATATTTTTATATAAATTTGAAAAAAAAATTTACTTGATTGTCTTCTGTCTGCAATTAGCATATGATATCCTCTATCCAACGAAGTAAAGTACCGCAAACTCACTAATGTTCTAGCTTATGTAAAAGTCTGCACTTAGATACACGGTCAAAGGCTTTAGAGAAATCTAGATAAACAACGTGGACCAGCTGCGAACTGTTTAGATGTAACGTCCAGTCAGTAACACAATGTAGGAAATTGGTTAAAGTAGAGCGACCAGAGACAAATCCATGTTGTTGTGTTGGAATAAAATGTTTCTGGAGGAGGAATTTGGTCATTTCCTTTTTTGAAAATAGGGATGACAACTGCTAATTTCCAACTAGGAGGTAAGGAATTCTGGATAAAAGAAGTTTGAATAATGAACGCTAAGGGTAATGCAAGTGTGTCTGCGCATCTTTTTAACAGGTTTGATGTTAAACCATCTAAACCAGATATCTTCGACTTTAGTTTTGAATCTAGATCTTGGCCTGCAACTCTTCTCGGTTCTTACTGACTCTTGATAGAATATTTGTCTTTGGGGGTCTCCAGTGTCCATTCTTTCAAGATGTCCTAGCCACCTTAGTCTATTAATTTTAATAGACCGGACGATGTTGCATTTTTTATAGCATTGATACAACTCAAAATTGTAGCGCCTGCGCCATATTCCTCTTTCTTGTACTTCTCCGTATACGTTGTAGCGTGGATGCGTAATAAACATCCCGCACACACATTAAGTTCAAAACCAGAATCGCTCAATTCGGAGAGGAAGGGCGGGGCAAGGTCAAGTGTATAGAAATTAAATAATATCTCAAAAATCCAAACACAATCAGACAATTCGAAATTATAATTTATTATTGGACGCCACCCTTTGTTTGTCCTCGTAGGGGACGAGAGAGAATAAAAAAAAATGATATATAAAAAATTTACAGCGAAATTACACTTTATTATTTCTCAGTAATAAAAAGAAACATTAAAAGTTGTGTTATTTACAAAGAATACTAAAATACCATTTCATAATTACATAACTATAAACAAAACAACTTTATATCTTTTTAAATCAAGAATTGGTTGATTAAAACAAATGAATTTATATATTATTCCCAAATTTCGAAATTCGTTTACATTTAAAATATTATAGTAGTTATTTATTAACTAGGCATAATAGAAAAGTTAAATCTTTAAACAATATTTAAAACACTGCTATATTTTCTTTCTCTGATTCCATAATTATTCTCGCTTTCTCGATATGCTATAATAAAAAAAGAAAAGGTACAACCTTAATCGTCCATTAGCTGGCAACCATACACAAAGGATATGTTCTGCTTCCTCTCAACCTCCAAGCATTTCGTTAAATTAGTTATTAGGGGTCCATTTTTTTAGATCATAAGGGATTATTGGGCTGCGTTTACGAGAGCATAAGACTTCTCAGTTAACTTCGAGCCAAATAAACATATTAATAATCTTTTATTGTCCCCTGTAAAAGAAGGTCTAAAAATAATTATTTATCTGAAAATATAGACAAAAAAAAGCCTTTTTTCTTTGGCTTACCTCTATATAGAGGCCACTTCACAAAGACACGTCCTAACAGTTGGATGTTTGTAAGAGAAAAGAGACAGACGCTATCATTTCCCGGTTTGAATTGGGGCGTGATTGACAATTTAATAATCGTTCTCATCTATAGGATAGGTTTAGAATTACAGTTGAAATCTTGAGTCGGCTACAAGTACCCGGCAGATAGATGGGGTTAAAAGTTTTATTTAAAAAAAATAATCGAATTTAAAATGAATTTCCTAAAACTTTTGAAACGGTTACAACGCATCTAATTATTCGTCTTTCAAAGCGGCCTAACAGTTCTGCGTCGCTTTTTACCATAGTCCATGTCTCTGATGCGTATGTCAGAACAGATTTAATGAGTTTCATCTATTAGTATCTTGGTTTTTCTGCTAATTATGTGTGATGTTAAGAACTGCTTTAGTTCAAAGTAAGCTCTGTTCGCCAGGTATGTTCTTCTCTTAATTTCTACGCTTAATAGGTTGCTGATATTTAATTGTGTTCCAAGATATATATACTCCGAGACCCCACCAGATCTTGTGGTGCCGCTATTTGTGTGCTGTTCATGACCTTCATATATTTTGTTTTGGATACGTTAACCTGCAGTCCTATTGTCTTCGCGGCTTTTTCTAATGTTTCAAAAGCCTGTATCAGGTCTCGTTTTGTCCGTATTACTATGTCAATATCATCTGCATAAGCCAATATCTGTACACTTCTATTGATGATTGGTGATGATAATATCATGATAGTATCTGTACCTTCTCTTGTTGTTATGCCTGATTTCTCTATGACTCTTTCTAGCGCGATGTTAAATAATAGACACGATAGACTGCCTTTCTGGCGTAGTCCAGTATGTGTTTGAAAAGACATTGACACTCTGTTTTGTACCTTGACTTTGCACTCAACTTTCGAAATAGTTGCCTTTACCAATGTTATTAGGTGCGACGGAATATCTAGTTCTGCCATAGTATTATAAACGGCTCTTCTGTCTAAGACTAATATATATACTAACTATAACTTTTAAAATCTATCTAGATTCTTTGTCAGAAGAACATAAAGTCTGGGTGGGTTTTTGAAGTAAAGGAATGGCAACTTTAGACGTTGTAACGGAAATATCTTGCCTACCACAGGGGGCATTAATACAGGGGATAGAAAATTGGGGGAAGAAACTATTGGGAGTAAAGATAAGGCAAGCAAAATAAACGCTACGTGTGCGAACGGCACCCAGGGTTTGGTAGGAGAGCTGGGGTCGTGGATAAGTAAAAGATAAGGGGGGTGGAATGGGGCAACTACAAAAAAAATAAAGGGGTACTTAATCTCTTAAGATAAACAAAATAAAAATAAATAAGAAACACCTCAAGGAATTTAATAAAGAGCGCCACTTGAGGTGCCTAATTATACCTATTACAAACACTAGTTGCAACTAGGAAAATAATTAGAAAACATCAAAAACATATCTTTTTCAAATAAGAATCAAAAAAGGGTTAGTTCAAAAAAATAAAATGTTAAGAAAATAAATTTTAACATTTATTTTTGTGTCACCAAACAGTTACAAAATGGAGAAATACAAAATACAAAAACTTACGTGTCATCCGCTTACAAACTCCAGGAGTTGGAGATACTACATAATCTTACAAATTTACATGGAGGTTAACCTTGTTTAAAAATAAAACAAACTATAACAGTAAAAAAAAATAATAAAAAACGAGCTGTCATAAGTAAACATTAAATTTAAAAAAAAAAACTAAACAGGAAATTGACAGCTCAACTCAAAACCTAAAATTTACAATTTTAAATGTAACAAGTTTTAAATTTCAACGAAAGCAATTATTATTTTATAAAAAAATTGTCTGTCTTTACTTTAAATCTTGAACACAAAAAAACAATTACCTTGATTTTCACTTAACAAAAAAAACTTGTCACATCTCTGGAGTATTGACATCATCAGCGAAAACATCCATTGGGGCTGGAACAGGATCAGGAACTAGACTTTTTAAACATCTTAAAATCTTCAAAAAAAAAAAACGAAACAGTGGTCACTCTTTCTAAGATGACATATTACATCGAGTGAAAACTCCACCAATTTTGGCAAATTATGCCGGTCACTTCATAACGGATAAAATTTACTACTACTGCCACTTATTTCCACAAAATTAATCAAAAAAAAAAACAGAAGAACACAAATTCGATGGAGAATCTGTGGATCCATACCTCCCAACACTACGAAGGCCCGAGTATGAATCAATATCCACACCTCACTCTGCGAAGGCCCGAGTATGAATGACGAATTTAAAAATTCGATCTTAAATTGAAAATAAGACAAACGCTGACATAACAAAACACAACGAAATTAGAACGTAAATATCCTTTTGCGACGTATTTGAAATTATAACGCGGCTTTCAATGAACATTAAAACAAATTGCCGAGAAAGTTAAAATAAATAAACAACTTTAAAATGGTTTACATTAACCTCCAGCAATGCTAAGACAAATATGCGTATTTCAAACTTGAAAGATACGAACTAACAAAAACGGAAAGAATTCCTCGTTTTATTTTTTAAACATATATAAGGAGTTTTTAATATATTTCATTATACGAGGAGCTTTCAATATACTTCAAAGAATCAATGAAATTGAAAATGCTACAACGTCAAGGAGGATCGTATGTATTTGTAGACTTTTAATATTACCACTTTCAATACCACTTGTTTCAAAATTTTGTGTTAGAGTTTTTACGTAAGTAATTTGAAAATCTGCGGTGGTTTTGGAAATCACTGAGGAGTCCGGTGTGTATAAATTTACGCCATAGATGTCGATTGTAATTAATATGTTTTATTACTGTTCACTTTATTCAGGGTTTATGGTTGTTTTTATAAATCTTACGAAAGGTGGTGACGGTAGTGTAAAAAGTGATGACAGTTTAAAGAAACTGATAAACGTCTTGTATATACTGCCGAATCAAAAATAAACCTGTTTAGCGGTTACGTTTTTCATTCTTAATGTGTGACTTACTTTTGTCTTGATCTTGTAGGTAAATAGAAATGCTTTTACCTAAAAATTCTGAGAGTGGTGTTTTTATCCTTACGATGATGTCAAATTTTAATTATTTTGTGTGTTTATGTATTACATGTAAACTATTAATACAAAATAAAAAAAAATCAAGATCAATACATTTTTTCTCCATTTTATTAAATAATTGTGCTATTTTC